AGGGGCCAGCACTCCGTGCTTCTTCCAAGGGCACCTTCTGTTTTGTGCATGTGCACTGTGGACTAATTGAAGTCAGATGAAGTCTGTAGAATTGCTCGGAGAGACTTGTAAACGCGTGTGAAATACTGCCGTACTGAAACGCAATGATCTCACATTTTTATAGATGAATATGTATTTCTATAATAATGCTGGGGCAGGATCTAGCAGGAGATCTAAAAGGAAAGAAAGACCGAGATGTCTGAGTGACAAGCAAAGCATGCATGTGTCGAGGTGTTTGCTCCAGATAGAATGTGGCGTGAACATGTCTTTGATTTCTACTGCTGACACAAGCTTGGGTACGGCAAACACTTAGAAATGATTCAGAGTGCTATTTTGGGGCAGGAGTGATGGCTCAGCAGGGAAGAGTACTTAATGCTCTCGCAGAGGACTCAGGTTTGTTTCTCAGCACCCACACAGCAGCTCACAGCCATCTGTAAATTCCAGGGAATTGATGCTTTCTTCTGACCTCTGAGGGTACCATACACACATGGTACACATATATTCATGCAGACACACACACACATGAAATAATAAATAATTATCTTAAAAGATAAATAATACATGTTAGTTAAAGGTGGGAGAATGTGAGGCCTGTTGCTCACTGAGTTCATAGGACCACTGAGTTCCACTCACAAAGCCCAGGCTAAGAATATTTGCTATTGCAAACATAGAGCCTCATTAAAAAATAAAATAAAAAAAAGAACCTTCAAGAAATTCTACCCAGAGCTAGCTCTAATTTTATGTTACATAAAACACTTTTCATGGCAACTAGTAAGACTAGTTTCACAAGCATGATTTGATTCCCCGTGTGCGTGAGGTCCTGTAGCAGGCTTCTAAGTTCTTGCTCATGTTAAAAACCTTTTCTCCTTAGCAGGAAAAAAAATGCCCACTTAGGGGCAGTTCCTCACTGTGGTTTGGAATTGAGAATGAGAAGTAATCTTTGTGCAGATGGCATGGCCCTTTAGAGGCTGGCACCACCCAAGAACAAACAGTGTGGCTCACTGTTAAGAGCACTGGCTGCTTTTACAGAGGACCAAGGTTCAGTGCCCAGCACCCACGCGAAGGTTCCCAACTATCTATGACTCCAGTTTCAGGGGATTCAACACTCTCTGGTGGCTTCCCTGGGTACCAGGTGTGCAGGTGACGCGCATGTATTCATTCAGGCAAACACTCACACACAGAAAAAGAAAAATAATTGATTGTATCACTGAGCAGATGGCCACCAAAGTGCTTGCTGCCTCCAATAAAGACAGACACTGTATCAAACTGAAAGGTTAGTTAAAACCATTCTTCGTTGGCTCTCAGGGTGTCACTGGTGTGACATTTAGAGACACTGTAGCATAAGGCTAAGAGCTCTGGTCCAATAGAGCTTGTTGCAAACATTATCTTGCTTATTGCCTGCGTCAGTCTTGGGAAATTAAACACTCTGAACTCCAGCGTTCCTTTCTGGGACATGAGTCTTAAAACGTAGCTGTTTCTACCCAGCAGAGTTTCCTCAGCAATTAAATATGAGAATTATGTAAACCCTGTGAATCCAGCCAACATATGGCATGTGCTCAGTCTGGGAGTCTCTCTTCCTTGGGGGCTGGCAGGAAGAAGCATATTCTGTGACTTTCTGGGCCAAGGAGACCCCTGCGTGTGTCCACACCTACAGCTCTCTTTGTCTAATAGAGAAGCCCAGAGGCCAGCATGGTGGCGTGCCTGGGCAGCTCTTGTTTAGATCCAGCCACATCCCAAAGCTTCCTTCCGGCCTCGGTTGCTATTGTGACTCCCTTCACCTCTTCTTTGAAGCTTCTAGACTGACAGATGTTATTCCCCCTCCACACATGTACAACTTTATGTGTAGGTTTAAGAAAGAAGGAAAAGGAAAAGGTCACAGGAAACAGGAGGGGAAAGTGAAGCTTTCATTTTTGACCTTAAGCCAGGGGATTTCTCGAACCTTCTGCAGTCAATGTCACATGTTAATTTCAGTTTGGGTACTTGCCGCTGACTTAGAAGAACTAGAAATGAACAAGGAAAACCTTTTCTGTACGTAGTTAGGATTTATAAACTGATCAGTATCGAATGAACAGTTCATGCAGGCGTTTTAATGCATTGGAGACTCAGCTATGAAATTATGCAGGCAATAGTTAAAAGTCTGAATTGTATTTCTTATATGTGGAAAGGAATATTCACAATGGACCAAAAGTAAAGTCTGTCCAAATCCTTCCAGTGTATTACAGGGTATTAAAAACCACATTTATAGGATGGGGGCTGCTGATTTTCTTCCTATAAAAATACTGTCAGATAGTAAATACTTTTGGCTTTGTGGAATAGAGTTGATCTTAATTGCAGGGAGGTCTCTATTAAGAGCATCCACAGACGGCTTCTCTCTCTTTTCCCCATCCTATCTGTTTAACAACCGTTGAAAGTGTGGGAATATCTTGATCACAAGGTCATATAAAAACTGATTAAATCTGCCTCCTTCAGAAGGTAAGGCAATATTCATCCGACAGCCAAACGTGGGAAATCATGGAAGTGGCCCCGCCTGTGCCAGGTGCCAGTATATCCCCATGGTACCAGATGACCTAAGCATTGCCCCTGTAGAGCTCCCATCGTTCTGAGAGGAACATTAAGTCAGTTAACCAAAGCAGTTTTATGGCAAAGTGTCTCATGGAGAGCTGACTGTGGAGAGCTGAGACAAGCAAGCCTTCCCTTCCAAATATGTCCACAGGTACTAGGGATACGGGCTGTAATTTGCTGCGGCACCTAAATAGTATTTCATCTGTGTCTTTAATTTTGCCATCTAGGATTGTGTGTGTGTGTGTGTGTGTGTGTGTGAGAGAGAGAGAGAGAGAGAGAGAGAGAGAGAGAGAGAGAGAGAGAGA